GGTTGTCTTTTTGTCTGCTCGCATAGAATTTTTCCTGTCGCAATTTTTTCGCACACCATCCTTATGTGCTGCGCATGCTCTTCCTCAGTATTCGAGTAAATTAGGATGTCATCAATATAGACCCACACAAAGTGGTGTAGGTACTCGCTAAACAGGTTTTCCATAATGCGCATGCAGGTGACGGGCGCATTAGCGTCTCCTTGCAGCATAAATTTGCTGATGAAAGTTCCGAATGGTGTCTTGAATGAGTTTTTTAATTCGCTTTCCTTGTCTACCCTTGTTTGGAAATAAGCGTTGCTCAAATCTATCTTGCTACGGTATTTTGCATGGCCTACTGCTTCTAGGATCTCGGTTTGATTCGGAATCGCGGAACTGTTCATCACTGTGTTGCTGTTCCGGAGCTCGAGGTCTACCAATGGTCTGATTCGCTTCCCATCTGTTTTTGGTTGGACAAACATAGGCGCTGCACCAGGTGCCTGGTTTCTGTAGATCACTCCTCTTCTCATCATCTCGTTGATCCAGTCCCCTAGTTGGTCCTTATAGGCATCAGGAATCGAGTAGGTGGGTTGGTTCTTAAGGTTATTCGGGTCTTTGCAGGTGATGTGGTGGTTTTCAGCACGCATGGGCGGTAGCTTCTCCGGAATCTTGTCTGGAAAAACATCCGCAAATTCGTCCAGTAGTTCATAGACTACTGATTCGCATACTGCTGCTCGGTATTCTCCGCTAGTAGGGGTACAGGATACCCGGACCTTCTTGTCTGGGAATTCTATGACAGACTCGCCGCATCTGATAACTGCATTGTGACGGGTGAGGAATGGCATGCCGATAAGGGCATCGAATTTAGCCACATTTCCAAGTAGCATTTTGTGTTCCGGGAACTTGACAGATCCCAGCTGGATTGAGACATTTGCGGTTTTATGACTAGTAGAGCGGGATCCTTTTACCACCATAGCAACTGGGATCGGTTGTTGGAGGGCTTCGGTTTTGAGTCTATGGGTAGCTGCAAAGGTGTTGTTGATCATGTCTGTGCCAATTGCTCCTGTATCGAAAAGGACTCGGGCAGGATGCCCGTTGATTTGGATTGTTCCTTCTAATGCTCGGTGGGGCTTCTTGCCAGGTTTCAGCTGGACCAGGAAGCACTGGGCCTCCATGGTGTTGATCTGCACATCCTCGTATTCGTCTAGTTCTATGTAGTTTGCTGCAGGCTCCTTTTTGATCGCTTTTCCTTTTCCCTTCTTGGTCGTGCAGTCTCGGGCCATATGTCCGGTTTTTCCACATTCGAAGCATTCTCCCTTCTCCCTTCGTTTCTCCTTAGTGGATTCCTTCGCATTTTTCTGAAACCTTGATTTCTTAGTCCTTGGTGGATCCGGCCTTTAGTCTTGCCGTTCCCTTCGAGGTGGTGGTGGGGGTCTGGCTCCATAGGCATTGGTTTCATGCAGGATTGCATCCTTTCGCTCGGCCCTCTTTATTATGTCATGGATATCATCGTCATCCTCCTCCATTGGTTCTACCTCTCTGCGGAGTAGGGGGTGCATAGCATCATAGAAATGGCGCTTCTGAATGTAGGCTGATACTACGCCGCGGGGCATACATTTTGCATAGAGTAAGAGGTATGTTGCTATCTTGGTGATACGTTCTGTCTTTCCGCCGTGGGTTTGGCTGATGCTGTTGAAGGCTTTGAATATTTCCTCGCTATTTCGGGATGATTGGAATCGCTCCTTCAGGGCTTCAAGTACCCTGGTTGCTCTTGCTTCTTCACCATATGCGTCCATGCATTGCTGGTAAGCATCGAGGGCCCTGCCTTCACAGATAGCTCCGATGTACATTCCCGTGTTGTGTTCCTCAATGTTGACACCATGCAATCTTAGGTACTGGTGCACTGCTGTTTCCCATCGCTGGAAAGCTTCAGGCTTCAGGTCCTCACCTTTTCCTGAGAAATTCGCAGGGAGAGGGAGTTTGATCTTGGGAGGATTGGCTGGTATGCCACCGGGTCCATGTGCTCCTGTGGGAGGGTCTGATGGTCCTGGGGGACCTCCGGGTGGTTCTCTCGCTGAGCTTGCCATACTATCTTCTCCGTCGCTACTGCTGCTACTACTGTTGTCTTCTAGGCCAGGTGCCGCACCTGTGCCTTCTGTGGGTGGTCTCGATGAACTTCCGCTAGTTCCAGGTTGTTTTCCCTTTCTGGGGGTAACTGGAAAGCCTCCGGGCGTGGATAGGCTTTGTTGGCTTAACTCTTCCTTGGATTCTTTGAAATCCTGAGCTGCCTGATCTCTTGCTAGCTGTCTTCCTGGATCGTCGATCGCGAATCCATCCTTTGGGCCTGTCGCTTGGCCTGGTCTCTTAGGCTTCGTTAGCCCTTCTCTGGAGACCTGTTTCCCACTGCGCGTTGTGAGAGGATCTATCGTATAGGTAGGGTAGGTGGGCCACTGCTGGGCTCCTCTGCCTTCGTGCTCAGGCTAGCTTTGCTGGGTTGTGCCTGTCGATCCGTGATCTTGCACACACGTTTCTAACCACTTGCTAAGGTTAAAAAAATGTCACATGTTCGCACCGGGGTGCTAATCACACTTCCGGGTACAATAGGAGTAGCGCACAAGTTGATCTACAACCTATGGGCGTACTGCGCTAAGGGAGGCTCTAAGAGAAAGATATAAAGAATAGGGACTTGAAGAGGTAACCGTTCAACCAAGTATATTAGAAATACTCTGTCTGTCGAAGTCTGCTGTTCCTTTAAGGGATTCAGCGGTCTTTAAATACAAGCTTCGTCCATGTCCTGCATGGATGGATTTCCAAATCCTCCGTGAGCAACCCATAAAACAAACTGAGTATCAAAGGATACTCAAAACCACAAGTAAAACAAACTGAGTATCAAAGGATACTCGAAACCACAAGTTAAACAAACTGAGTATCAAAGGATACTCAAAACCACAAGTAAAACAAACTGAGTATCAAAGGATACTCGAAACCACAAGTTAAACAAACTGAGTATCAAAGGATACTCGAAACCACAAGTAAAACAAAACATAAAACTAATCCTTGAACCGAACGGACTGAACTCCAGTTCCGGTTACATAGTCCTGTTAAGGTGGTTTCTTCTGAATCTGCAACAAGGGAGTAAGCTTAAAGCTCAATGGAAAGATTTATATATTTTATCAGATCTTTCCTGACATAGTAAAAGTGGGTAATTACTCAATATCAATACAAAACAAATTATACATATTAAGAAAGAAGCTGTTAAAGACCATGTCTACCTCAATGATCTAAAAGTCTATCTGCTAAGAAGACTGGAGGTATAGCCAAGAGTAGATTTAATTGATATCTTAAAGTATAAGAGAAGTACAAGCATACTCCAACCAATGCAGAAACCAGGTATATATTGAACTCAAGGAGCCTATAGGAGAAGCTTGAAATAGATTGGGACAAGATATGGAATTGATAATAGGAAGAAACATTATGTCTAGTCACTTGACTACTTGTAAGAAGAGAGAAGAAAAGGTAAGTAATGGATGGAGATAGATATGTTGTACTCCTAGTTGATTTTCTTTGATAGCCTTCAGGGACAAAGGCAAGGAGAAGGAGGGACTCTTATGAAAAAGGTATAGGTTTTAGGGTCTGGAGATGGTATATGTGCTGGTATTTGTTTATATAAAACTAGGCAGTTATGAGGATTACTTTGAACACAGTTTTGCACAGTGGAGGTGTGACTTCATTTCTGTCCTTAGAATAGATGGCAACTATAGAGGAGGTCATACCGGAAAACTACACCCTACCCATATAGAAAATCATCTTTTGTTCTGTTGATTTTTGCTTCTTCCTATCTTCAAAGTTACACTGCATATCATTTGATCACTTCTGCATTCCTTTAAGCCTCAGGTTATCAGAGGAGTTACTCAAAGGGAAATACGGGGGGGGCTCTACTCGGTCGGGCACACCATCCGATATAGGGAGGCTCAGCAGAAGCACCAACAACGGTGCTCGAGTACAGATGGTATCACATGTGCCTCTATGCCCCAGACTGCCCGAGGGGCTTGTGTTCCAGTCTTCCCTAAACTAGTGTCCCGGGCGCACGTGCTCGGGCGGGGGCTGCTCCCTGTCGACTTGAAAAACTACGACTTCTCTTGTTTGGTCAACAGCCAACATTCCTCCTCTAACGATATCGACTCTTAGCCTTCCCCTTTTTTCCATCCATCGTTCTTCCATCGGTATCTTAATCTTGGAAACTATTGACTGAATCTCTTCTCATAATGGCTTCGACGGCTCCCAGCGGTACGCCAAGCTCCAAGGAGAAGAAATACGACCGTCAGTTAAGGCTTTGGGGTGCGAATGGCCAAAACCGCCTTGAAGGAGCACATATTGCCCTTTTCGGAGCTACAGCTACAGGCTGTGAGGTTCTTAAGAATCTTATTCTCCCAGGTGAGACATCCGATTGACCGTGAGAGAATCGTGTCCATCCCAAAACTTGTTAACACGGCACCTCCTAGGCATTGGTCGCTTTACCGTAATCGACGATAAACTGGTTGAGGAAGCGGACCTGGGTGTCAATTTCTTCCTTCATCAGGATAACCTTGGGCAGCCGCGAGCAGAAAGCGCTGCAGCCTTATTAGGGGAACTCAATCCAGACGTTGCGGGTGGATTTAGAATTGATGTGGGCAACAAACCCCCATGAATTGTACAAGTTGATACTCATAATATGGTAGAGCTTGGAAAATGTTCTCTCCAATACCCCAGGACTCCTGGATCCCGGCACAACCGAATTCACACACCTACTTTTGGTGTCGCCAGTTCCAACCCCCCTACTTTTTCGGCTGCCTGCCGATATCCCTACGTTCTTTGTTCATTCACTTGGCTTCACCGCTAGTCTTCGCATTTACACTCCTACCCACACCATTATCGAAACACATCCTGATTCCTTAGTTGATCTTCGCTTGTTCAACCCTTGGCCAGAGCTTTCAGAATTGGCATCGGAGAAGACAAGGGCCCTCGATGTGCCAGAATTAGAAGATGGAATGAGTGATCATCAACATGGACATGTTCCATACGTGCTATTATTATTAAAATATCTGGAAGATTGGAAGCAGTCGCATGAGGGCCATCCTCCCGGAAGTCATTCTGAGAAAACCCTTTTTAAATCAATGGTCATGGATAGAATGAGAACAAATGTTCCAGGTGGGAGCGAGGAGAATTATGTAGAAGCTGCCCGCGCTGTCATGGGGGACCTGCGAACCGCAGAAGTCTCAATCGGAACAAAGGAAGTCTTGAATGACCCCAAATGCCAGGACATCACATCGCGGGTACGTTTTTGGAGCATTTAAGCCGTGGGTTACTGCTTACTTCGTGGTAGACGGATGAGTTCTGGGTCATTGCTCGAGCCGTGAAGGATTTCGCAGACTCAAACAATGGGTTGTTGCCACTATCTGGGGCGATGTCCGATATGAAAGCCGAGAGCCACGGATACATAGCTTTGCAGAACATGTGGGTTACTAACCCCTAGAATTTGTCCTAGTGTGCTGAAAATTGGTTCCGCAGATATCGCGAGAAAGCGCACTCTGATGCTACCGTCGTCGAAGGCATTGTTCGGGGCCACATGAACCGAGTGCAACACCCAGAACGAAACCAGATAGACCGCGATGCAATTCGGCTGTTCTGTCGACATGCAAACTTCTTGCGGCGGTTGAAATACTGTTCTATTGCTGATGAATTTTCTAATTCTAATGATGAGCATAAAAAAGCAGTTCTGGCTGCGTTAGGAGGTTGGGACGCGGAAGGTTCATTAATTCACGACTACATCGCACTTAGGGCTTATCAAGAATTCTATACTAGTCATGGTCGGGCTCCTGGGGATACTACAAGTGGTCAGGGGGGTTATGAGGACGAGTATAGGGGAATCAAGCGAATCATTAGTCAGTACCTCCAAGATGTTGGCTACACTAAGAGTGTGCCCGAGAGATGTGAAAAGGTTGCTAAGGAGATTATACGAGCGGGGGGTGGGGAGCTGCATGTTACTGCATCAATCGCAGGTGGTATCGTTGCCCAAGAGGTCATTAAGGTATGTCACCACGGGCTAAGGCTGGTGCCACACTCTAGCTAATTCCGACGGGAAAGATTATCACGCAGCAATATGTTCCGATCAACAATACTGTCATATTTGATGGTATTGCGAGCAGAACACAAACATTCGAGTTGTAATTTGGGGCATTGCATAGGTGGCACTGGAAGGTTGGGTATAGTGTTTCGACGTATCAGTGGTATCCCGCTTCCTATAGCAGGGCGTGCGTCGGACTTGTTCATTATGTATAGCTCACCTTCCCCGCGCTTAATATTTTTCTCTAGACTCAACGATAGAGGTTGGGAGGTAGTTATGTGTTCACCATCTGTTCCTCAGTCTAATTCTATGACTGGTTCTCGTTGCCCTTTGCTTCATGATATTTTCCATCTTCCTCAAGCACATCTCGGGGAAGCGCTATCCCCATTCGAGCTAAGAGATTACCTCCCGGTCCAGGGAGCCCAAATTGGCCCTTGAAACTCTCAAGCATATTCTTCGCGAGTGCGAAGTCTATGTTGACTTCTTCTCCACCATCGCTCACACCCCCCTCGCCGGCAACCCCCGGTATCTCGACCATGCTTTCCCTCCGTTCGATCGCCCCAGCCTCCTTGAGCTCTTCCTCAACTGTTGCCATCACCTCTCGGATATTGGCTTCGTCATATTTGTTCTCGCCTTCATTACCGCTAGTCTGCGTAGGCATGCCCATCATTTCGTGCATGATTCGTGTGAACTCAACTTCGTCAAAACTAACCTCCTTGTCTTCATCACTATCGTCCATGTCTTCAGTGTCACCATGGTCACCATCACCATCGTCTACATCATCACTGGTATCCATGTCATCGACCTCCGCTCCCTCGATTCCGGCATCCTCGTCATTTAGGAAGGCCTCAAACCGCTTAACCATTTTCTTCAGCGTTTCCTCCGCTTGTTTATTCCCCCACCCACTTTCAGCCTTCTTTGCTCCTCCCGAACTGTCCCCGGGCTCGGGGGCATGTTGTCCTGAAAGGTTCCTGTCTAGCTCTTCAAAGTTGATATCCAACCAGTCCTCACCATCGATCCGTCGAGGCCATGATGAGATTTCTTCGTCCGTTGGTGGCGTTTTCTTTTGTAGTATATGTTTAAGCTTTCTAACAATAATTTCCCTCGCCTTGGACGAAACTTGCGGAGCGGCGTTATCACTAATGAGCATTTCAAAGCCACAAGCAAGCTTCATACCGGTCGCATTCGCAATTGGCATATCAGATGAGATCTTGAACCCATCTCCCAACAGTAGTTCGAATTCCTGCGATAGAAGTTGAGCGTAGAGAACTCTGGTGAATCTGACAGAGATCATGACCATATCCCTGGGTGGAAAGTGGTTCATCGAGTTCAGTGACTTGAGGGATATTGGGTCGCGCAGGTAGAAGGCTTCTGTAGCTGCGGCTATCGATTCTGGCACCTCATGGAGGACCATCGCACACGTTCGTGGAACGAGGGCCTCTGCATAATGTAGGTGTTCTTCTATTGCCTTTGGGTATCTCCCAAGCCGATAGAAAGCCTCTTCCTCTACAATACGAATCCGTTGGAGAGGCGCGCGGGAGTCGGAGATGAGAATTGAATAGGCTTCTTTAAGTGTGAGTGAGTGCGCGGTAGGTTTTGTACCGTCTATGAAGGTTGTAGTGGCTGGAGGGATTATGAGGAGATTTGAATCATGTATCCAGACCTGAGAATATTAGTTTGCGAAATAATGTAATGACGGTGTGACCAGTACCCTGTTGTCAGCAATCTCGGGTTTGAGCCATCGTGGGAGCGTGCTCGCAGCTTCAATAAGTAGAAACTCGCCGTCGGTATCGTATACTCTACGAAGAGTTAGAGATTGTTAGGCAGGACAGTGAGTGGAAGAGGCGTACCGAGCCCATAAATTTGGGAAATCCCCAGTCAATTCCCTTAATATCCAGACGATCAGCCATTCATCGTCGACCGAATCCCCATACTCTGTTCTTCCACGCAAGCACCACCCCACATCCTCAGTTTCGGCAATTTCGAGTTGGAGGCTGTCCCGCTGCCAGATATAGTCTGCCGTTACTGTCCCGGTGAATGTATCCGCTGTCTGCTTCACCTTCTCCAATTCCGCTCGGATAACTGTTTGGTCTGATGCTTGGTCGATGATGATCAGTCTGTATTCCATACAATTATCTGGCAAGACTCTCTGAGGTATCCCATCAAATTGATCAAAGCCGGTGGTAAAAGGGTCTGTATTAATATCCATCGTTTTCCTTATTTAACAGTTTTTCGAAATTTACCTGGGTGGTTCTGTAGTGTCTGGACTAGTGCATTGAGTAAAAACTACTCGAGTATGTCAACCCTGAACTTGGCGACAAGCAATCACCCCTAGCCCTACCCAGCTGCAGATGGATACCCTACCCCTCCATCCCACCAACCCGCCTGGTGAGTCCAAAGATTCACATGTTGATTCATTTTACCCCGAACTAACCGTCCATCTTCCGCTCCTTCCATACCAGCACCATAAATCCAGTTCTAAAGAAAGATGCTGGATGTTCTCAGTTTTATTCCGGCAAGAGGTGGGAACCCTGAGGTGATTCGCGAAGCTCAGAGGAGGAGATATGCCCCTACTGAGGCAGTTGACGAGGTTATTGCGTTGTATGAGGAAGGCCGTGTTGGTTTGTGCTTGGTTCTGTTCCCAACTCTTAGACTCTACTAATTTTTTGCTATAGCAAGATTCAATGTTGACAACAAAGGGCGTGGGATCAACATGGTGCAGAGGGAGATCGGTGCAAAGAAAAAGGTAGGCTACTCTCGATGTGTTGCTCGCGCTTCCAAGAAGGGTTGCTGACTTGCGATACATAGGCTAGAGAAGACGCATCTCCCCTCTTGGCACAAAAAATCAAGCTGGAGGCTGAAAAGAAAGACCTTGAGATTATTGCCAAAGAGAAGGAGAAACAATTGTACGCCAAACTGGGCACTATTGGGAATCTTGTTCACGACTCTGTTCCCGTCAGCGACAACGAGGACAACAATGAGCTCATTAGGAGCTGGGCTCCCACAGGTGTTAATCTTGAGAAGCGCGATTGTCTTTCCCACCATGATGTGCTTTCCCGTCTTGACGGATATGAGGCAGAGCGTGGCGTCAAGGTCGTCGGACATCGTGGGTACTTTTTAAAGCAGTGGGGTGTATTTCTCAACCAAGCGTTAATCAATTATGGATTGGAGTTTTTGGCTTCAAAGGGCTACATCCCGCTTCAGACGCCACAGTTTATGCTTAAGGATGTGATGGCTAAAACTGCTCAGCTGGAGCAATTTGATGACGAGTTGTACAAGGTGTGTGTCTGACGGGGAGGAGTAGACCCCACGAGGCAAGCAAGAGGGATTCTGACTGGTTTAAAATAGGTTGTGGATGGGGAGGAGAAGAACGACAAGTATTTGATTGCTACCTCTGAGCAGCCCATTTCGGCCCTTCATGCCGATGAATGGCTGCAGCAGAAGGAGCTCCCTATCAGATATGCGGGGTTTAGTTCTTGTTATCGCCGTGAGGCGGGAGCCCACGGGAAAGATGCTTGGGGTATTTTTCGGGTTCACCAGTTCGAGAAGGTATGGTGCAATATATATATTTGGCTGATTGCTGTTAACCAAAACTCATAGATCGAGCAATTCGTTATCACAGATCCTGAGAAGTCTTGGCAGGCGTTCGACGAAATGATCAACTATTCTGAGGAATTCTACAGGTCCCTCAATATCCCTTACCGTGTCGTCGCTATTGTATCCGGTGCTCTAAACAACGCTGCAGCAAAAAAGTATGATCTCGAGGCTTGGTTCCCGTTCCAGGGCGAGTACAAGGAGCTCGTTAGCTGCTCTAATTGCACTGATTATCAGTCACGCAACCTGGAGATAAGATACGGGACTAAGGCCCAGACAGATATGGTCAAGAAATACGTCCACTGCCTTAACTCGACCCTATGTGCGACTGAACGTGCTCTTTGTTGCATTATGGAGAATTACCAGACCCCTGAGGTAAGTGGTTCAGCATCTAGCCTTGAGACATGCTTGAATTCTGACTTGATCGACAGGGTATGAATGTCCCCGAAGCGCTAAGGAAGTTTATTCCTGGAACTCCGGAATTTATTCCATATGCTAGGGAGTTAGCATCGAATAGCACCTCGATGAGAAGGGGGAAGCCTAAGGCGTAGATACTTAGAAATAGCATAATTAATTTGTGACAAAAACTGAGCTCTCCATTGTGCAAATTACCTGTGAATTCTCTTGAATTGAGGGCCATCTACATCTACCAGTTTGACTCGTGGTAGCCGACCAGAATCCGGGATGCGGAACTGGGATAGTTAGATGTGGCTGGAAAGGTTGTCAGGGAGGGGAAGCCTGCGAGGGACCTGAGTACGGTACGGGCCAGGACAGGTGACCTTGGGCACATGATTACAAAGCGAAGCTTGTTGGAGGTGCTTAGATAGATCGGGGGTAGACCGTGTGAACCCTCAGCGTGGCGCGGCAAAATTTGGAATGTCTTGGCAATAACAAGGTGACCAGTTATTGTTTTATTTTTATTTCCTTTGAGACTCTACTCGTGCCAAGGTTGTGACTAAGCATCACAACCCCTGGTTGCTCACTGGCTCACAACCTGGGTACTCCTCCTGAGTGCCTGGCAGTTAAATATGACTTGACAGCTCAACATGACTTGTGGCTCAACACAATTTCTTGTGGCTTAACACAACTTTTCATGTGGCTCAACACAGTTTTTTGTGGCTCAATGTAACTTTTTTTTAGAACTTAATATCACTGGCAATTTTTTAGTAGCTTATTAGGTTTTATTCAGAATTTTAAACTACCGTATTATCTAACACGAGAGCCCCCTCCCAGAATTAGTTTAGCGCAAAAATATTCCCAAATAGGCTAAGCATCCTTGGCAAAAACCAACGTCATGTGGTAGCCATTCCGGAGGAAGAATTGCATCTCCATGATCACCAACGACTACAACACCCCCTACGAAAGCCTCAATCCATACTCCACAGCTACCATAACGACCAGCAATGCTTCTTTCCACAACTCCAGTAGCCAGATCGAGACCAGCACCAATATCAGTGCTACAGACATCTTCTATTGATGATGTTTCTGCCAGACTTTTCTCTTTTTCTTTCGCCTCCGACCAATGGAATCAAGTAGTACGCACAACGCCAGTGACCACTGGCATACAACCCTCTGAGGAAATTGAGGAACTGGGTCATGTGATCCCCACACCACGAGCAGTTCGCAGGCGTCCGGGCCCCCACCGAGGACCAATTACCGACTTTCGTCACAAATCTCCACGCTCTATTGTGATACCATCGCGTGCAAAGCGTGGTATGACTGCCGAGTTTAAACTTGGTGTCCTCTCATGGTGGTACTATTCAGAGATCAATGATGGGAAAGGTGGTTTCCGTACTGCTACAACAGCTGAGGTGCTGAAGAAATTTGGGATAAAAAATCGATCTCAACTGTCACGGTGGCGGAAGGTAAGTTTTATCTGTAATACACTTTCTTTGGTTACTGGCATCTGAAGACACTCTGACATGAAGTTAATAACTATTAGGTTGAGGGACAATTATGACAGCAAAAGAAAAGTGCAAAAAAGAATTGCTCATCTCGTGCCCAGTGGCCAGCACTGGAAGCGGCCCTTATTGTAAAGTTTACCGAAAGACGAGAACTCGGTCGAGTTGTTCGGAGGAAATGGTTTGAACGTGTGGCAAAAGCTCTGTTCCTTGAGCTATATCCACTATCGCCACAAGTATTTTTATTTTCTACGGGCTGGTTTAATCGATTTCTTGTTCGTAATGATATTACTCTCCGAATTATCACGAATAAGGCTCAGGAACTACCGGAAGAGTATTTAGCAGTGATTATCAACTTTCTTTGCTTCAACCGCCGGAACTCACAGCTTCGTGATGGTCCAACAGATATACTACGTGGTGTTCTCCATGTTGGACGCTATCTCTTGTCTAATATTCTCAACATGGATCAAACACCACTACCATGGGAATATTTAGAGGGTGAAACATATGAGCATAAAGGAAAAAAAACTGTTTGGGTCCGGAGCAAGAAGTCAGGATGGGGGAAGAGGCAGGCAACTATACAATTGACTGTCTTTGCGGATGGTACCCCTCGTGTCAAACCATTGATAATTTTCCGAGGTGCTGAGGCAAGCTATCGTGCACCACGGCGAAGGGAGGAAATGAGGTATGACCCTCGGGTAGTAGTAAAGTTTAACAAGAAGGCATATGCCAATACCGCGATAATTCTTACTTGGCTTACTGATCAACTTGTCCTGGTTCTTGGAAAACGACCTACACTTCTTGTTATGGATCTTTTACGTGCACACAAGACTGGTCCAGTAAAGGAACTTCTCATCTCAGAAAATATCACGCTATCAATGATTCCAGCTGGATGCACAGGACTTGTGCAACCATTGGATGTTTCCATCAATCATCCATTTAAGGATATACTGAAACAGGTACGATATACAATTTATACAATTTAGAACCATATTTTTCTAGCCTAAGCCTAGCTCAAGTATAAATGCTAATTGTTAAAGACAATTGAGGATGAACTTGACCGCCGAGAAATTGAGCCACAGGATGTTCAAGGAGAGAGTGCTGTCGGAGAGATGCGAGTGATGATGACTTACTGTGTTGGACAGGCATGGTCACAGTTTTCCCGTGAACGACAGGGAGTTGTTGTGAAGAGCTTTAGGCAGTTAGGACTCTCCCTGCCCATTAGTGGCTCCAGTGATGGCGAGATTTCTATTAAGGGTCTTGAAACTCCACTATTAATGAATGCAATAAGTGTATGGAAATCTCACGGACGGCCAGCAACATCTGACGAGAGCTCAAGTCAAAGTTCTTCAAGTGATGAGAACTTTGACCTTGTTGACAAAAACCTCTCTCCCGGATTCCAAACCGCAAGGCCTCCTAGTACCAACATCCTACCAGGTAACGTTTACAAGTCTCTTTTTCTATCTTCCTTAAATTATTCTTTTTATCATGGTACCTCCGGTTCCAGCAACTACATATAATACTAGTACTGACATGGATATTAGCAAGCCTTGGTCCTAACAGACAAGCACTAGTACAAAGTGCAGTATGTGTATCAACCACATTGGCAGATACTGTTCCAGCGGCAATTTCTGATAGTGGAACGACCTCTTTTCGGTTTTCGAGTAGTGCAGTTCAAGATGGTGAGACAGCACCGACACATGCACGTCCTAGTACTTGAGGGAAAACCCGTGGTCGGACTCGGAGGCAAGCCTATGGTTTCAGTTCCCAACACAGCTCCCGTCGGCATGCAGTTTAGTCCACCCCAATATCCAGTATTCCAACAGATGGTAGGCAGTTGCGTTCCCGGCATATTCCAGGTTCCTCAAGCCAACTTGAGACTCACTACCCTATAACCTTACAGCAAACGCCCACAGCTACTAATATTAGGAGAAGTCACAGGTTGCTTCAAGCTGGAGAAACTCGGACTTTTGTCGAACGGTTTCCTGGTCTCAGTGAAACTGAGGATGAATGCGATAATGATGGCATTGAGTTTGACTTTCGCTGGGACAGAGAAGAATTTTAGTTTGGTGGTATGGAGATATTTGTTGTATTGGAACTAAGTAGGTTTCAATAATAGTATTACTTTATGCTGGTAGAAGGTTTAGAGTAGTAGTGTCCCTTTGTATCGGGAGGAGATTTGTACTCAGGCTCTTACTGCGCACAGGGCGTTTCTGATATTGGACTATAACCAAACTAGCTTAGTGCCAATTTTAAAATACGCTAGCCTGATCGGAGGCGGGGGCTCTCGTGTGAGATAATATGGTATAAAGATCCATTCAAGTTCTATAACAAAGTTCTTGGAAGCTATGAAGTTCTATTAAGCTACAGAATTCTACTATACTTTGAAGAAATATTCTACTATAAGAGTATAATCTACCTATCTAGCTTTCTCATACTACAATATTGTATAAAGCTCCGAAATTATATCAATCTACTAGTATTTGATTATGCAAGACTCCAAGATTATAATAATATAGTTTTACAGTTTCTTGAAGCTTTAAAAGTATATTAAGCCTTAAAGTAATATTGAGTCACAATTTTAAGCCATAAAAAATGTTGGATTGAGCTACAAAAAACTATGCTGAGCCATATAAAAAGTTGTATTAAGCCACAAAAAATTGTGTTAAGCCACAACTCATGTTAAGGTATCAAGTTATGTTGAGCTGGCAGGCACTTAGGAGGAGTGCCCAGGTTGTGAGCCAGTAAGCAACCAGGGGTTGTGATGCTTAGCTACAACCTTGGCATAAGTATATTTGTTAAGAATCTTAGCAGAGGCGGAGGTGCGACAGGTAACGATTCTTACTTAGGTAAGGTAGTAGTTCTTAGACCATTGCCTATGCAATGTAGATAGTCAAGTGCTTTGACTTTAAGTTCTATCTTGTTGCTCCTATTTCCTTAATCTTCTTAAGTCCTCACTAAGGACTTACTCTTAGTCATTGTGGGAGGAAAGACAATTCTTGGGTTTCTTAAGATAAATCTTAAAGAGTATAAAGGTAGATTTTATTGATAAATTATAAAGGTAGAAACTAAACAAGAAGAACCTGTGAAGAGCTCATACTTGGGGTCCTAATGACCCTTTACATATTCGCTCTTCGCCAGGCATGACTCATATCTCCAGTCGCGTAAACCCTGTGACTTATAACCATGAGTCATGCAAAATCCATCAGCTAACTCCTATGAGTCGCTACGCAACATACCTAAAATCAATTGAAACATAATAACCAAATTAGGTGGGCAACTCGCGTCACCTGAGTGAAATCTATGACTCATAACTTGAGTCATGTACGAAAATCATAACCTTATATAACTCACAACTGTGAGTCATGAACAGGTAAATATAATAACCTATGGCGCACTAGTGTGTGTCATGTTAAATCCTAACATACCTATAGCTTGGAATCCTGAGCTATGTAAAATCTGCCTTGCTTAGTCATAGTTTGTAACATTAGCTCCTCTCTCCCTAAGCCCAAGTCCCCTCAGACTTATATCAGTCTTTCCTCCAATTCCCATGCCCTGTCCACCGGGAGTCCTGACTTGGCTTCCATGTTCAACCAAGCACTGACTTTCCTTACTCTTATCAGGGCCCTTTTCGCTTCCTTCTTTTCTCTCCTCCAGTTATTCTGGAGAGTCTTTCATATCCTGTTTTCTT